ATTCAAAATAGCTAGAGGACTTTAAAAATTAAAGACCGTAAATCAGGAATATTCTGAAAATACGGCTTTAAAAGTTTTAAAATTGTAAGGACGAAATTCTAAGGATTCTAAAGACTGTAGAAGTTATAAAGATCCTAAATATCCAATGATCGTACTTAAAATGATATTAAAGATATAGCGATTCTACACATGTTAACAATATCAAGAATCGTGAATATATTAAATTACAAGGATTCCAAAAACCCCAAAAACCTAAAAATTCACAAACATCTTAAATATCCTAAAAATCCTAAGATCCTGGTAAATACCTCACAAATTTTAATCTCCTCACTCGTCCTTCCTTTCCTTACAGGATATCTCATTTGCCAAAATCAGTTTATCTTAGGAGGTATTAGCCCCGCCCACCCACCCTCTCTTTTTTACAGGATATGTCATCTGCCAAAATCAGTCTTATCGTAGCAGATTCTAGCCCCGCCCACCCACCGTATCTTTTATTATTAGGCTAAGATAAAACAGATTTTGGCAAATGAGATCTTTCTAAGAAAACAGAGGGCGGATGGGCGGGGTTAATACCTCAGATCGATTTTGGCAAATGACGTACACTCTAAGAAAAGAGAGGGCGGGTGGGCGGGGCTAGTATCTGCTAAGATAAAACTGATTTTGGCAGATGACACATCCTCTAAGAGACGAAAGGGTGGGTGGGCGGGGTTAGTAGTTTGCTAAGAAAAACTGATTTTGGCAGATGACATACCTTCTAAAAAAATGGAGGGTGGGTGGGCGGGGCTAATACCTGCTAGGAAAAGACTGATTTTGGCAAATGAGATTCCTCTAAGAAAAGAGAGGGTGAGTAGGCGGGGCTAGTAGCTGCTAAAATACAACTGACTTTGGCAGTACTTGCCCCGCCCACTCGTCCTCTATTTTGTTACAGGGATCTCATTAGCCAAAATCAGTCCTATCCTAGAAATATTAAAAATACGTTCAAGTTCCCAAAAATACAACAGATTTCGGGATCCTATAACAGTATAAAAAAATAAGACTTTTACAAACGTTTTAAAATTGTATAGGCCGCAAGAACGAAATTCTATGGATTCCAAGGACTGTAAAATTTATAAAAATCCTAAATATCCAATGAAATAGATCTTAAAATTATCTTGAAAACATCATAGTGATTCTACACATATTAACAAGATCAAGAATCCTGAATACATTAAATTATAAGGATCCCAAAAACCCCGAAGATCTAAAAGATCATAGACATGTTGAATATCGTAAGGATCCTAAGATCCTGGAAATATCCCACAAATTTTAAGCTCCTGGAAAACATGAGAAAACGGTGAAGACCCAAAAAAAATTTACAAATCCTAAAATAATGCCTTCAAGATCCTAACAAGATCCTCTAAATATTAAAAATACTTTCTAAGCTATTCCAAGATCCTGTGGCTTATAAACTACCTAAATAGATCAAAATTATCTTGAATTATTATTAGAGCGATTGTACATATGTTAACAATATCAAGAATCCTGAATATTTATATTATATTAAAAAAATCTCAAAAACCCCAGAAACCTAAAAAATCACATACATCTTAAACATCCTAAGGATCCTAAGATCCTAGAAATACCTCACAGATTTTAAGCTTCTGAAGAGCATAAGGAGATAGTGAAGACTAAAAAAAATTTCCAAATCCTAAAATAATTTCTTGAAGATCATAGAAATATTGAGAATACCTTCAAGTTCCCAAATATACAACAGATTTCTGGATCTTATAAATACATAGTATCAAAAAATGAGACTTTTACAAACGTTTTAAAATTGTATAGACCGCAAGAACGAAATTGGAAGGATTATAAGGACTGTAAAAGTTATAAAAATCTTAAATATCCAAGGGTCCTAAGCCTATAAACTACCTAAATAGATCTTAAAATTATCTTGAAAACATCGTAGTGATTCCACAGATATTAACAAGATCAAGAATCCTGAATACATTAAATTATGAGGATCCCAAAAACCCCAAAGACCCAAAAGATCATAGACATCTTGAATATCGTAAGGATCCTAAGATGCTGGAAATATATTACAAATTTTAAGCTCCTGGAAAGCTGAGAAGATAGTGAAGACGCAAAAAAATGTTACAAATCCTAAAATAATTCCTTAAAGATCCTAACAAGAACCTGTGGTCTATAAACTACCTAAATAGATCAAAATTATATGGAAAATTTCATTGCGATTCTACATGTTAATAATATCAAGAATCTTGAATACTTATATTATATTAAAAGGATCTCAAAAACCCCAGAGACCTAAAAGATCACATACATCTTGAATATCCTAAGAATCCTAAGATTCTGGAAATACCTCACAGATTTTAAGCTTCTGAAGAGCATGAGGAGATATTGAAGACTAAAAAAATTTTACAAATCCTAAAATAATTTCTTAAAGATCTTAGAAATATTAAAAATGCCTTCAAGTTCCCAAAAATAAAACAGATTTCTAGATCCTATAAATGGTAGTTTGAAATTCTAAAGATTCTAGAAATTTTAGACATTCTTGTAAATATTTTGGTGGTTCTAAAGCTTCTAGAGATTATATAAATTTTAAAGAAAATGTAAAATTTCTGAAAATACTGATGATTCAGAAGATTCCAAAAATCTAGATGATTATAGTAGTTCTAAATATTCTAGATTCAGTCATCTCGTGATCTTAATGATATTGTTGGATAATCGAAACTTTTGAGAAAAGTGTTTAAGATTATGAAGACTTCTAAGATTTTAAAGGTCTCAAAGACCCCGAATAGTCCCAAAATATTTTTTTTGTAAATCTGAAAATTCAACATTACTGTGAAATAAATTTCTATAGTCTATAAAAAAATATTATTAACAATCTTGAGGAATTTTTGAAGGATTTTGGGCTTATTTTTCCGAAATTAAAGCCAAATTTTCTAGATACCATTTTTTTAGGTCATACTTAATAATTTATTTAATTTAACTTTTTTGAGAAAAAAATGCCTTTATAAAATAGTTTGTTCGATACATTTAACAGGACAATAGGAAAAATGACTCATTATTTTCTTAATAAATTCTTGAAAAAGCTTGTTTTTTTCAAAAAATGAAGCAAACTTTTCTGAATAGTTTATTACTACTACTTTTTTAATTATACTTAATTAACTATTTATTTGTTTTACCGCCTCTTGCAGCGCTTTGAAGATGGACAACCAATTATAAGAAACCAGTCAGCAAAACGTCAATTTGTGTTTAATTTTACATGAATGAATACAATAGACTTGAAAAATTCAAACCTATTGTTTTTAAAAAATGGCTACTATTCATTATACAGTATGGTAAAAAAATCTAGGCCTTTATTGACCCGAAAAACACTAAAGCGGAATTTTCATGTCACTGCAAAATTATAAAATCTCCTTTGTCTGGAATCACATTGTTTTCTCTGTACACAAAATTTTCCCAGATCCGCCCATTTGAATTTCCTGTCAGAGTACGTATTTTTTCAATATAACTAATTTTAATTAATTTGAATTTTTTTTCATTTCATAAAATTTTGAATATTTTTTGAAAAAAAAGCCTTGACCTGAAGGTCAAATAAATACTACCGAAACGAGTTGACAGCTTTTAAACCAAAAATTGTGAAAAGTTCTCTGACTCAATTTTTAAAGTTTAAAGCCGATAAACACACAAACTAGCACAAGACGTTAGAGCAAGAACTACACTATAATCCGTAAAGAAATGTTAAGCTTGAACGGTATTCGAAAAGATTATTCTAGGAATTATGTCACGTTTGATAATAAAACAAAATGTAACGTTGCACATGCATTCAAAGAATCCTTAAACAGCCTCAAAGTTCTTCGACAGCGTTTATTAAAACAACAACACAGAATAACATAAATTAACCGACTGTACACACATAAAAATGGCGAGTTTAGTTTTGTCGCGGCAAAACAGCGTCTAGGTATTTTATCGATAACCAAATTTCGGTGTATAGTTGCAAAGCTTAAAACGCAATCGGGTCAAGTTTCTGCGATTAGATAGGGTGAATTAGGTTCCGGAAGGTCAAGACTAAAATAAACCATTAAAACATAACCTTATTTTATTATTTGATTCGTGATCTGAAGATGAAACCCAGTATAGTGAAACCCGTTGACTGATTGTAATTCCGTTGGAACTAACCCATCATTACCTGCTCTGCTACCACCCACGATAAAACCCGTAAAATTAATTTAAAACGGTGTTATTGGGGGGTTTTGTCGCGACAAAACTAACAATATTCAGTGTCCAGAAAAATGTTAACTGTTGCGTGATCCCGAGACTAGTTATTAAAGTGACTTAACTCGCTTCATTGGCTCATTTCAATGGCTCGTTTATCTGATTGGTGTTTGCACCAAGCACGCTAATAAAAAAATGTGGGGCTTTCGACGACTTCGGACGTCTCGTGGCACTAAATGAATTTCGTAAAACTACGAAAATCGGTTTTATGCGTCTAAATTAACAATAAAACAACGCAAATAGATAACCACCTCAAACATTTGTAGAATTCTCTAATCTTTTAACACGAAGCGGTGATACGATGTAAGCTCCGATTACACAATAATCACTACCGTAATAAATCCGATAAACAAGAAGTGCTGAAGCAAGAATGACACAGTAGGTGGAGCAATAAAACGATAAACTTTGGGCAAAAAGTGGCAAAGCTCGGTGATAAGGAAGACCAAAACAAACCCGATTTGGGGACTCGCAAAAAAAATAAATCGCCAAAGTGCCAATTCTTGTAATTCTTCCGCGCTTTAATTGTTTGTTTTAGTAAAATCGCTGACTGTTTGAAAAAAAGGTCAGCGGGTTTAACTAGGTCCGGTTGAGCAACGATACGTTTGCAAAAATCCGTGTTTAGGTTCAGTTTCAGCGCCGAGTTAAAAATCGCGTTAGCGAATTTTTAGCCGTCCTAACTTTGTCGTAGCAGTGTACTATCGCTTTTCGCTCGCGAAAAAAAATACCTTGACTTAATCCAGGGGCGCAATCACATGTCCGGGCACAAACTCACACCAAGCACTTGAAAAAAAATCCGAACAAAGGCGAAAAAAATCGTCTGGCACTGCACAGGGAGTACACAAAAAAACGCACAAAATAAAGTCGGGAAAGCAAAAAATCAGTACACAAAACAGAAAATGGGGTTGCGGCACCGAGTACTTCCCTGCTGAAGTCACGAGTGCGACTGAAGCCGTCCGGAATTCGAAAATCCGACGTTTCCCCCACCACGCGGTCCCCTCCCCTCGCCGAAAAAATTTCAGGCAAATCGCGGATTTAGATTGGCTGAAATCGTAAATAGAGGTACATTTCGTGTGTGAATTGTAGTCGGAAAAAAGGCCAGTGCGGATGCGTCGGCAATTTCGCGAATTCCGCACGCTGTACTACACACATGAGGGGGGAGAGAGACGGACGATGGAGTTGGCTTGTTTTCATTCATGAGCAGGCGGCCGAGGGTCGGCGGCGGGCGGCCGTGGGGCGGTGTGGGTGGATGGGGTGATGGAGTCGCGAATCGGCGAGGACGGACGGGGTGACGTGAGGGGTTTTTCTAATTGAGTGAAATGATACGAGAGGAAGTGTCCAACACAGTTCGTAGTGTTTTTTTATTGTTTAATTTTAATAATAATCGACCTGGGGCAAGAAAGTGCGCTTTGATCTGTTGTTGTCATGCAATTTTTTTACGATATTTAAATTTATTCTTCCCATTATGTAAAGTAGCGTATTTGCAACCAAAACTTTGGTCAGAGTTGCATAATTAAAAAAGACAACTGAATTTACAAAGCGTAGGATATTTGAGACAACTGGCAGAAGAATTTGGGATTAAACACATTCAGAGTTTATTTTTAAATAAACAATAGTATAAAAGTCGTTATTACCGATTTTTTTTTATTTACCAAATGTATTTAAAACAGACGTTCAGCTACGTCAACAATAATATCAAATGTACAACTTTTAAATTTTAAAAACTGGATATTTGTACAATTTATTTATTAACGGATGGTCAAAGCACAAATGACGAAGTTTTATCAAAAATTATTCAATAGAGTCGATTTTTCAGAAAAACAATAGCTTCAAAAGGAAGTCGGGATTATTAAATATTATTGTCCAAAAAAGATGAATCCCAAAATTTTAAGAATGATTTTGATGTTATTTCAATATGAGGATATTTTAGAATCTAAAAAAAGTTAATCTTGAAAATCTTTGTGAAAACTAAAGTCGGAGAGACCCAGAATGCGATCGATGCGCTCGCATTTTAAAATTTTGTTTTTTTTTAATAATAATCTATAAATTTATTATTATAACAAAACCAAGACAGCTAAAATGAGATTCTTTCTCAATTACTTTTGGGAGGCTTTAGCCTAGTTTACTGCAAAAAAACGCTTAGAATGCGAGCGCAGCGAGCACGTGCAGGTGTTATTAAAAATAATTCATTGCTTTCCCTGAGAAGCTAAATTATTGACAAACAAAAGTCGTTTATTCTCTATAAAATAGTGAATCTTACAAATAATTATGATTGTTAAAGTTGGATCTGTTTTTTTTTACTCTAGAGATTTATTGTTATAATAGAATCCAAACAACCTCGTTCAGACTTTTTCTGCACACTTCTATGACAATAGAAGGTCTAAATGAAAATGTTTGTGTATACTAAAGTCGGAGAAACCCCAGCAGCCTGAACCAGCTCGCTGCGCTCGCATTCTAAACGTTTGTTTTTTAAAATAATCCATTTAGAGATTTGTTACTACCACAAAATCAAGACAGCTTTGGTGAGATGCCCCTGAAAAGCCAAATTTTTAACAAAACAATGTGTAAATTGGTCTAAAGTGATACCATTTTCATGAAAGTGTGCTAAGCCGAGTTTGATTTGATTAACAAAATTGATTGACTCATTCATTTATTTTTTTTTAAATCGCCCTGTATAAGTAATTATGAAAACTATGAATCCATTGATAAACCACAAGTATGGAGTAATATTTTGCTTATTTAAAAATTTCGAGATGACGTCATAAATTTTTGAGAGGGATTTTTGCAGTTTCAAAGTTAAATTTCAATAAAATTTTGATTTTTTCAATATTGTAAAAATTTATTAAAACACATATACTATGTACAATTTTGATTAGACCTATTAGGGAGACCAATTTTTTCATATTCTAGGGGGAAAATATGCAAATAACCATTCGTCTAGAATGCTCTAACAATTTCTTATTAAAATAAAACCTCGTTGAAACTCTTTCCTGCCTACTTCTATGAGAATAAAGCTGAAAAAATGAAGTCTAAAATGCGAGCGCAGCGAGCACCTTCAGGTGTAGTTTAAAAAAATATTTGTCAGTGTCTATGGGAAACTAAAATATTAAGAATGATTTTGTTATTGTTTAAATATGACAATTCTTTAGTATCTAAAAAAGTGAATTTTGAGAATTTTTGTGAACATTAAAGTCGGGGAAACCTGAACGTGCTCGCTGCGCTCGCATTTTACAATTTTGTTGTTTTTTTTTAAGTTATAAGTGTAGAGGTTTAATATTACAACAAAACCTAGACAGCTTAACTGAAATTCTTTCTTAATCCCTTGTGGGAAGCTAAATTGCAAAAAAACACGGTTAGAATGCGAGCGCAGCGAGCACGTGCAGGTGTTATAAAAAATAATTCACTGCTGTCCCTGAGAAACTAAATTATTGTCAAAATTTACTATCTATAAAAAACTGAATGTTCTATGATGATAAAGTCGAAACAGAAAGGTTTAAAATGCGAGCGCAGCGAGCACGTTCAGGTGTAATTGAAAAAAACTTGTTGATGTCTCGACAAGCTAAATTATTAAGAACAATTTTGTTGTTACCTATTATTAAAAATGTGACTTTAAAGATTGTTCGTGATTATACTAATGTCTGTTGGATTGAAACAACCTAAACGTGCTCGCTACGCTCGCCTTTTATACATTGATTTTTTCAGAGTAATTTACATTTGCACATTTTTATGATACTAAATTAATTAAAACAAAAATATTCTGAATGGGAGTTATTGAAAATTATTCGTCGATGTCCCTGGAAAGCTAAATTATTGTTAATGAAATTTTTTAATGTCTGAATGAAAATGTGTATAGTAAAGTCGGAGAAACCCCAGGAACCTGAACCAGCTCGCTGCGCTCGCATTCTAAACGTTTGTTTTTTAAAATAATCCGTCTAGAGATTTGTTACTACCACAAAATCAAGACAGCTTAGGTGAGTGAGATGCTTTCAAAGAACGCTTAGAAGGCGAGCGCAGCGAGCATGTACTCCACTGCTGTCCCTGAAAAGCTAAATTTTGAACAAAAAAATGTTTTTTTCCTCTAGACTTGTGATTACTAAACAAATAAAGAATTACATATTATGTATAAAATGTATTTGAATCTCCAAAAAAAAAAGTTTGAATGCGAACGCAGCGAACACGTTCAGGTTTTCTTAAAAAATTGGTCTAAAGTTATGAAATTTTCAGAAAAGTGTGATAAACAGATTTTGATTTCATTAACTTGGCTTCATTTTTTGAAATCACCCTGTATAAGTAATTATAAAAACTATGAATCCATTAATAAACTACAAGTATGGAGTAATAATCTTTTGCCTATTTAAAAATTTCGAGATGACGTCATCAATTTTTTGGGAGGGGGTTTTGCAATGTTGTCATACAATTTTGATTTTTCCTCAAGAATGTCTCGCATCATAAAAACTCAATACGGATTCATAAACTACACGTATGGGATAAAATTTATTAAAACACTATGTACAATTTTGATTAGACCTATTACGGAGACCTATTTTTTCATATTCTAGGGGTCATGAAATGTCGAGAAAACATGCAAGTAACCACTCGTCTAAAATGGTCTAGAAATTTACTTATTAAAATAAAACAAACCCAAACAACCTCGTTGAGATTGTTTCCTGCACACTGATAAAGCTGATAAAATTAAAGCCTAAAATGCGAGCGCAGCGAGCACATTCAGGTGTAGATGATAAAATTACTTATCGATGTCTCCGAGAAACTAAAATATTAAGAATTATTTTGTTGTTATTTAAATGTGATAATTCTTTAGTATCTAAAAAAAGTGAATTTTAAAAATTTTGTGAACATTAAAGTCGGGGAAACCTGAACATGCTCGCTGCGCTCGTACATACTTTACAGTTTTGTTTTTTTTTTTTTTAAGTAATAAGTGTAGAGATTTATTATTACAACTTGGACAGTTTAACTGAGATTATTTCTTAATCACTTTTGGGAAACTAAATTACAAAAAAAGCACGGTTACAATGCGAGCGCAGCGAGCACGTGCAGGTGTTATAAAAAATAATTCAGTGCTGTCCCTGAGAAGCTAAATTATTGCCATATTTTCTGTCTATAAAAAACTGAATCTTAAAAATAACTGTGACTACTAAAGATGGGGAGACCTGAACGTGCTCGCTGCGCTCGTATTCTACCGGTGTTTTTTTAATCTCCACAAATTTATAATTAAAATAAAACCCAAACAACTTCGTTCAGACTTTTTCTACACACGTTCAGGTGTAATTAAAATAAAATTGTTGGTGTCCCGAGAAGCTAAATTATTAAGAACAATTTTGTTGTTATTATTAAAAATGTGACTTTAAAGATTGTTCGTGATTATACTAATGTCTGTTGTATTGAAACAACGTAAACGTGCTCGCTACGCTCGCCTTTTATAGTTTGATTTTTTCAGAGTAGGAATTTACTTTTGCACATTTTTATGACACTAAATTAATTAAAACAAAAACATTCTGAATGGGAGTTATTGAAAATTATTCGTCGATGTCCCTGGAAAGCTAAATTATTGTTAATGAAATTTTTTAATGTCTAAATGAAAATGTGTATAGTAAAGTCGGAGAAACCTCAGTAACCTGAATCAGCTCGCTGCGCTCGCATTCTAAGCGTTTGTTTTTTAAAATAATCTGTCTAGAGATTTGTTACTGCCACAAAATCAAGACAGCTTCGATGAGATGTAATTCACTGTTCTCCCTGAAAAGCTAAATTTTGAACAAAAAAATGTTTTTTTCGTCTAGACTTGTGATTACTAAACAAATAGAGAATTACATATTATGTATAAAATGTATATAAATCTCCAAAAAAAAGTTTGAATGCGAGCGCAGCGAACACGTTCAGGTTTTCTTAAAAAAATTGGTCTAAAGTTATGAAATTTT